AATTTACTATAAAATCAACGCCGCTCTCAAATTAGGGCTGGCTCTTCCCTCCTCCTTCTTCGCTCCACTCTCCACTCTCTCTCTTCCCTGTGGCTGGATCCTGTGTTCTGTATTCCTTCTCACTTCTCAGGTATTTAACTCTTTCCCACTTTCTTCGCTACTTCGCTTTCATCTATGTTTGATTCCCGGGAAACCGAATACAACCCTATCAATCATTCAGCTACTCCCTGTGTTCCATCATTTCGCGGGGCATCTGATTGAGAATCTGGTCTACCCAATAGTCAGTGATGTTTCGAGTTAACTACTGGTCGAATCCAAAACGTTTTCTGCTTTGTGGGGTATTCTTTTTGTTTTCATGATTCCCTTACGCTGTCTGTTTTTGGGTTCATGAAGATTCTTCCATCATGGAAGGTTCCTTCGCGAGGAAACGATTCTTATCATGGTTACACAACGAACCCAACTAATAGTAACGGGATTCTTTCCCATTTCTTTTGTGATTAATGTTTGAACAATTTTCTTTGACTTGGCATTTTCTGATTCTCTCTGGAGAAAACCAATCACGTGATATCGTTGCCCTTGTAGTTTTACTTTTACTACACATTTTAGCCTTTTCTTAGAGTAGAGATTATTTTGTCGTGTCTTACCTGTTCCGTTCTATTGCATAGTTCTCATGGACCAAGTTACTATGGTAGAGACATTGATGCCACCTTCTTGTAAATAATCTAAAATGCTTTTACGGAGACGGATAGGCTTCTGATTTTTTCCCCGGAGATAACTTCATTCTGTTGCCTTTCTCACAGGCATTTGCATTATTTGCTTTAATAATGCTTTTGGTGTTCTATGGAGCAGATGGACCACTTTGATGGAGATAAATGAGAGGGATGGTAAAATTCATTCTTACCCAGAAATCATAGTGGCTTTCTCTAGTCTATAGAGGTTATGCCTGTCATGGAAGTTGATAAATCTGACATCATTCGTGCTGAAGAAATCAAAGCCCAAGCAAATGAAGCATTTAAAGGTAACCATGTGTGCCTGTTACATGTTTCTTGGCGTTGGTTCATGAAATAAAGTGTAGGTAGCTGAACTCCAATAATTTTTGCTGTTTTCTACTCTTGGGAATACGTCAAGATACCTGCAGCAAAAAAAAAAAAGTACGAACATGCTGCAGGCAACATAGTTTATTTAGTTTTACCCTGAGAAAGATTCTGTTTATTTTAGTCTATTTTGATTAGTACCCTGTGTCAAAGAACAGTCTGACACTCTTATGAAGTTGCTCATGCTTGCTCCTTATGTACTGTACTATTTTTGATTGATTTCAGCCCACAAGTATGCTCAAGCAATTGATCTATATACCCAAGCAATTGAGCTAAGTGGTCAGAATGCTGTATACTGGGCGAACCGTGCATTTGCACATACTAAACTGGAGGAATATGGTAGTGCAATCCAGGATGCATCGAAGGCTATAGAAATAGATCCTAAATATTCAAAAGTAGGCTCAGAATTTAACCATTGTGATACTATTTTATATGCTTTTTTGATTGATTAATCTTTTTGACCACTTCCTGGAAACTTTCTGGAAAATTTTCTGTTTGACAGGGTTATTACAGGAGAGGTGCTGCTTTTCTTGCTATGGGGAAACTCAAAGAGGCACTTAAAGATTTTCAACAGGTATCAGTCTTTTGTTGTGAAGTCTTGACTTGTGTTCTGATTGGCTCTTACTGCTTTTAACAGCTGAATACTGAGTTATGCTGCTCTACTATTCATTTGTCCAGTTGGGAGTTTGTAGTGCTGTCTGACCTGTTTTAGTCATTTCTTCAATAAGTTAATTGTTGATTTCTCTCTCCCTCTCAATATGGTGGTGGTGGTGGCTGTTTGAGGAATCAAGGAGGAGAGGGTTAAAGTGTTTCAATTGCTTTTACTCTGACATCCCTAAGTTATTCTCAACTTATATCATTTTGATATGTAAAAATGTTTAATAAGATTCGTTTTGTGTAATCTAGCTCAAGAAGATCTGTCCCAATGATCCTGACGCTGCTAAGAAATTGAAGGAATGTGAAAAGGCAGTCAAGAAGCTTAAGTTTGAAGAAGCAATTGCTGTTCCCGAATTTGAAAAGCGTTCAGTGGCTGATTCCATTGATTTCCATCAAATTGGTAATTTTTCTTAGGTGAAATGTGAATTGACACCCTCACACCTTGAAGCTTGTGCAAATTGAAAATTCAATTGGACCCCCCTCTCCTTGAGAGAATCCACCCAGGAAATGGCTGATGTTATCCCTTGAATCAACTTTTAAAGTTCTGTTAAAGACTAGTAATAGAAATGATTCTCTTGTCCATTCTCTCAAATTTTATAAAATTTAATACCTGAGGCCTTCATCAATGCCCACCTTTTTTCATGTAAAAAAAAAAAATAGAGGGAGAAAGTTTGACTCGAGGGGAGAAGACTTCCATAAGCAACGGAAGAATCCCCGAGCTTTTTTTATTTATTAAGCTGAATGAGGGCAGCTATGTGGCGCATACATGGCAGTGGCTTCATATGATTCCACATCAGATTTTCCTTTAGTATTTAAGGAAAAAGTTGTAAGGAGGTACTAATTGAGTCATCTTTAAAAGTTTGCTGCTGACCTTTAACCAATTGCATGATTTTCAAAGTGCCAGATTATTATTTTTGTTTTGTCCATTTTTTTGTTGGTTTTTTGTATAGATTTTTATATTTTTTTTGTTAATTCCATATAACTTAATTAATATACTTTTTGTCAATGCATAAACTTGATATAAAATTTGAGATGGTAATCCAGAGTGACTCAAGAGTTGACATATGTGCTAAAGACACCTTTTATTTAACCAAGATGCAAAGGATCGTGGGATCAAGACCCAATGGGAGGTCATATGTTATAGATATTAAGGGATCATCTGATTACAATTTTAATTTCCTTGTTCTTTGTTTTGCTTACTGAGTAAAGATAATTATGTTAAATCATCATTTCTCTTGTTCTATTAGTTTTTGTTTTTTATGTTTTAGTTGCTTTATGAAGTAGTAACTCTCCTTTATGCTTTATTGGTAGATGTTGAGCCACAGTATGCTGGTGCTAAGATTGAAGGTGATGTTGTAACGCTGGATTTTGTGAAGAAAATGATTGATGATTTTAAAAACCAGAAAAGCTTGCACAAACGGTATGTGTCATGATTGACATTGTTAATCTGTGTTATGAAATGTTTGAGAATAACTTTTTCTGTTGCTATGATTTTGTAGATATGCATTCCAGATTGTATTACAAGTCAGAGAAATCTTGCGTGCCCTTCCATCTCTTGTTGATGTTAACATTCCAGAAGGCAGGCATATAACTGTCTGTGGTGATGTGCATGGTCAGGTAGGCTTCTTTTGGTTAATATAGTATGTACGATATCATCTGTCTTAGTGTGAATAGTTGTGGAGCTGTTAAATAGACTAGGTATGTTCTTCAGAAATGAACAATTTAGTGAGAGGAATTAAGATAAGATCATTGAAACTCTTGCTTACCTTTTTCAGCTAACTTTTGCATCAACGATGTTGTATGTAAGAATTGGAATTTCTTGTTTCATAATACACCCGTGTTGTATTTTTCCATTATTTGAATTTTCAACATCTAAATTTATTGTATTTCATGTTCATGTTTTATTGCAGATGGTAGGCATACTTACATATATTATACCTTTATGATATCTGCAGTTCTATGATCTCTTAAATATTTTTGAGCTTAATGGGCTTCCGTCAGATGAAAACCCATACCTCTTTAATGGAGACTTTGTGGATAGAGGTTCATTTTCTGTGGAGGTTATTCTCACCTTGTTTGCATTCAAGTGCATGTCTCCATCAGGTGAATTTCCCCCAAACATTGCTACACCGTATATCTTAGATGGACTTTTATTTTCTGCACACTTCTACAAGCCTACAACACTAGGGCAGGTTCTAGTAATTTTGAAAGTCTACTTTCTATCCAAGAAAGGAAAATCTTGAAAAGTTGAAACTTGATCTTTAAGCTCTGATTTCACTGTGATCTATAATAACCCGTGGCTGAACCTCAGTTTGAACTTAACTTAAAAATCCAGATTGTTAAATAAGAAGAGGTAAAAAGTAAAAGCTTCAGTAAAAGCTTCAATTATGAAGATCTGCTGATCTTAACGAGACAGTTAATTGATTTACTCGATGAAAACTGCTAATGCTATTGTTAGATCTCCTTGAGAGTCCCAGGTTGTAGCCGTTTCTACATTTTTTCATGGTCTGCTTGTTCCATAAATAAAATTAAGTTCAAAGGCTTAAATTCATTGAAATATGAAATTTAGGACTAAGTCCTTTTCTCCATACTAGTAATTCCTACTCCTAGAAACTTTCATGCACTATGCTGTTCACTGTTTTATTTGACCATTTATGGTTTTGCTGTGAATTTTCTTTCATACAATGACTTTCTGGTTCATATCAATTTTCAGCCATGCATTTGTCCAGAGGAAATCATGAGAGCAAGAGCATGAACAAGATTTATGGCTTTGAGGGTGAAGTTCGGTCTAAGTTGAATGAAACGTTTGTGGAACTATTTGCAGAAGTATTTTGCTATTTACCTTTGGGTTATGTTCTAAATGAGAAGGTTTTTGTGGTTCATGGAGGTCTTTTTAGTGTTGATGGGGTGAAACTCTCTGAAATTAGAGCAATAGATCGCTTTTGCGAACCTCCCGAGGAAGGTGAGCCATCTCTTTACTATATCTTTTATTGCATGCATCTCAATTGTAATGCATATTTTCTGCATACAGTAACATGTTTGAAGCCAAAGTGATTGTATGGTCTTTCTTGGGAACCTCTTGGTGATGTAGCTTTTCCGTTTTTGCTCATTGGTGTTCTGTTTGTGCTTTTATCTGGGCATGGCCTGTGTCTTGGGCACAACAATTAATTCTCTGTAAATTTTTAAAGTTGAATAATACTGAGTTTTTTCGTTACTTTTATTTAACAGGATTAATGTGTGAAATCCTGTGGAGTGATCCACAACCTAATCTTGGGAGAGGGCCTAGTAAGCGAGGTGTAGGTCTTGCCTTTGGTGCAGATGTCACAAAAAGGTTTTTGGAGGAGAATAATTTAGGTAACTGTTTTCCAGTTAAGTATCTATTCTGTTCGGTTAATGATGATAATTGTTTGATGACATAAAGTACCAATAAATCGACAGATTTAATTGTGCGATCCCATGAAGTCAAGGATGAAGGGTATGAGATCGAGCATGATGGTAAACTTATAACAGTATTTTCTGCTCCCAATTATTGTGACCAGGTATTTTCCTTTTTCATGTTTTGTCTGTTATTCATACGTTATAATTGTTTTATCAACAGAAAAAGAAGCATATTGCTTTTTAGTAGTAGAGAGCTCATAGACTGTGTTTGGGGCACCGAATGAAATACAATGGAAGTTTTTTTTTTTTTTTTGAAAGAAACAATTTCATTGATAATATGAAATTACAAAAGAGATAACAAAGACTCAAGGAGGGTTACATAAAGCATTTCCAATTGTAAAAAAGGGAAGTGTAAAAAAGGGAAGTGTAGGAATAATGGTGAAAAAGAGGAGAACTTTTACTCCCAAGTGATAACTGTGAAGACTAATGAATCAAAAACCCTTTCAAAGGGGAGGTCTTTGTCGTTGAAAGTTCGATTGTTTCTTTCTCTCCAAGTTATCCAAAAGAAGGCTCTAACAAAATGCTTCCATAGAATTTTCCTTTTCTTTTGTAAAAGGATGGCCATTGAGGGTATACTCCAGTAGGAGGGGGATATCATTAGGTAATGCCGTGAACCATCCAAATGCAAATGAGGTAATCCAAGATACGTGTTAGGCCAAGTACCTTTCTTACATGAAAACTTTGTTGCTATAGAGTCCAGCTCGCTGTCATCTAGATTAACCCCCAAAATTTCAGATTTTTGGTGGTTAACATTAAGCCCGGAAACATCCTCAAATGAGTGAATAATGCCGAACATGTTGGTGAGGGAGAGATCATCAAAAGGGGAAAAGAGGATGGTGTCGTCTACGAATTGTAAATGGTGGACTTCCAAAGTGTTTGGGCCAAGGTCGAAACCTCTGATGCGATTGTTGCTAGCTGCCTGGGATATCATTCTACTGAAAACATCAGCTACCATGATAAAAAGAAAAGGTGATAAAGGGTCACCTTGATGAAGGCCTCTAATAGCTCTAATTTTGCCCCTTGGACGTCCATTAACGATGATAGAGAAATTTGCTGTGGATATGCATCCTCTAATCCACCGTCTCCATGTGTAACCGAAACCCTTTGCTTGAAGAACAACATCAAGGAAATCCCAATCTACTTTATCAAATGCTTTTTCAATATCAAGCTTAATAACAACTCCTTTTCTGCCTGTTCGATCCCATTCCTCTATGAGCTCATTGGCGATGAGGGGAGCATCAAGAATTTGTCGCCCCGAAACAAAAGCTGACTGCTCCTTGGAAATGGTAGAAGGCAATAGACCTTTCAACCGATCCGGAAGGACAAGAGATGAGGCTTATGGGGCGCAAATCTCCAACCTTCCGGGCATCAAGCTTCTTAGGCTTTCATGTTTTTTCCCTCTAAAAATTGTACTAATGCTTTGCCATTATTGTACTGCAGATGGGAAATAAAGGTGCTTTTATTCGCTTTGAAGCACCAGATTTGAAGCCCAACATTGTAACCTTCTCAGCAGTGGTGGGTGTTCATTTTTTCCGTAACCATCTTTTTGGTCGTTTTTGTGGATTTCCTTTTCCTCAAATCCTTGACATTTTGTTATGCATTGATATTGCAGCCGCATCCTGATGTGAAGCCAATGGCATATGCAAATAACTTCATGAGGATGTTCCAATAGCCGGACGAAGAATCCATCGAGTCGTTTTCAGTTTAACCGGAGGAGATCTGGCTACATCTACATGTTTTGAGTTCGTTGTGATTGTTTGTGGAAGCTGCTTCTTCCCAACGCTTTCTAGCAGTTTAGTTGGATACTTCTTTTACCTTCTAGGCTTCTGTTTTGACCCTTTGATTAGTTGCCCAAAAGTGTTCCAAATTAATTGTGTATTGCTGCATAGCTTTCTCGATTGACATTTCTATGTTATTTACAAAGGGGAAAAGAAAAACATTTGTTTATATCTCGCCTCTTCAATGATCTTCCTCGTGTTCTTTCCCTGTTGAACTTACATCTAAGAATTTGAACTCCGGGATCGTGCAAATGGTTGTGGAGCCATAAAATATATTTATTTAAACTGCGGTGTGAGCTGTGATTGGAATAGGTTTTCAGTTTTTCGGCTATTATGTCAAAGAATACGCAACAATTACAAAGATAAATATTTTCTCAAAGTACCATTTCAGAAAAATAATATCAAAACGGAAAAAACATTCACTCCTAATCAATGTGGTAGAACCAGAACGGGATTCGACAGGAAAAGGCAACAATGGACAGCATTATAGGTCCATATTAATCAATCAAGCTTTTCTGATTCTCGCACCACTATTTCCACAAGAAACATATCTCACTATTTTGATAATTTTACTTTCAATTTTGGTTTATTTTAAAACCTATACTTTCAAAACGTCTCTGCCTTATATTTTTAATTTTTACTTATTTTAGTCTTTGTACTTTTCAAATATTTATTTTGATTTATAAACTTTTTGATAATGACCATTTTGGCATTAAACTTTAAACTTCAAATTAGTTTTCATCTATTTTTTTTTTCCGTAGATATGTACACATGTTTTAAAGCAAAGAGAGAAGACTACGAAATAGTGGACTGAGTTTTAAAGCAATCTGCTACCTACAACTCATGAACATAAAAGGTAAGACAAATTTATACCTTTTCCAAGCTACGTATGTTATCACCATCTCTATTATATAAATTTTCTATTGTACCATAGCACTTGTGGATATTACTTCTTGGGTTATGATTGTCCTATGAAACTACAGCTAATGGATTAGTTCATAATCGTTCTATAGCATTTTCAGATGTTAATTTGTACAATGTGATACCTAAACAATTTCATTGATTATTCCAAGCTATAGATTTTTAATCTTACAAGCAACATAAACCTTGACTTATGATACCCACATTCCTATTCCATAGATTTACTTCACAAATCACAAAACTACAGATGAACACATGTTATATGAACATAGGTTTCTATGTTGCATTGCTCTATAATCTAGTCATCACAAGCTACACATATTTAAACTACACAAATCAAGATTTACAAAACCGTGAACTAAATATTCTCTTGAAAATCAAACCAATCAAATCAACAAGCATTTAGGCAACCTATTATATTAATGACCTATCTGATATCCTCCCGTTTCCCCTCCCTTTCACTCATCCGCCCAAGAGAAGAAAGAACAGACAAGTAATAGGTAGCAATAAGATGGTACTGGACGACTACTCTGATTTACATGATTTCCCTCAATATGACAGGATGCTGTGCCCGCTAAAACTTCCAAATTACATTAGAGCAATTGGAGATGACACCATGCATACATAAACTGAGAATGACATAACAAAGTATTCTGTATCTCAAGAAACAAAAGACTGTCGAATGAAAAAATGTTTACAAGACGTGATAGCCTTGGAAGTGACAGGAATAAGATATAAATACATTATGGCTAGAGCATATGGTGTTTTTATTAAGATTACTCCACTAGCCACCTAAGTCACCAAAGGAATTCTTTACCATAGATAAGCAAACGAAAGCCACACATTTTGAGAGAGACAAACTAACCGTTAAATCAAAAAATAATATCCTCGTCCTTCTCCATAGCTGCAGACAACAAATTGTGAGCTGAACTTATGGACATACCCTTTTGCAAAGACACCTTCTCAGCAAGCTGTTCCTCAGCATATAGCTTGGCATTAGCACGTTGTCTCTCAATTTCCCTTTTCTTGTAACCCTGTATCTTTTTAAGTCTAAAGAAATCTTCCCTTTCCAGCTCGTCCAATTCCCCCTTGATGTAACTTATAGTGTTCTCTATCCTTGGCTTCACAACATTCTCTAGAGCATTAACCCTGCGGTTTGTGGTCTTAATTGCCTCATCAAGAGTCAAAAATGATGTCTGAAGGGAAGCAAGCTCAACAAGAACCTCAATTGCCTTTACATAGGCACCCCGACATAACTGAATCTGTTGTCCACCCCTGGCCAACCCCGTGAGATCATTTTTTGTCTCACCATCAGAATAGTGTTCAAACTTTGGGAGTTTTACACCAGCAATGTTCTCCTGCCGAGATCGAATCTTAATAGCTGCATTTTGGACATTCTCAAGGACGATATGCTTGATGTTGTCACCAGCAACATATTTTGCCTCGGTGAGGGAAAATGAAGATGTTTTCATAACTTCCCCCATTGATTCCTTAGCTGAGACAATCTTCTTGAGTATCTGACGGAACTGCACAGTCAAAGCATCACTCTTCTTCTTGAGGAGAGCATGACCTCTGGTTGCCCCAATAAGACGGGCTTTCATGGCTCCAAGCATCGTAACTGTTGGAACCACATTCAAACGCTGGCTTTGGCCGGACATCTTTCTCAAAATCTAAGCTCAGAAAGACGGAGCCAGGTCAGGGAAATTTAATAGAATTATTCACAATGTATATTTACGTGAAAATAACAGCAAAGACTATTAAATCTTATACTTCACGATATCGGTCTGTGCTTAAAAGGAAAAAAATAAAAATAAAAAGAAGTATACTACAATGTTATGAACTTCCGACTAGAATTACATAAGTTCGCGAATTTTCGACTTGAATTGCACGCGAAAGAATGACCGCGACCTAACAGTCACAATTTTGAATTTTATTTCATAATCCGAAAAGTAACACCTTCTTTGGTCGTGTAATAAAATACTCTAATTTATCGTAGTTCTTAATCACAATCAAAAAGTGAAACAGCTAAATAAAAGCAATCGACTCCTATCCTCCTTCTTCCATACTAAACCTCAATAATTATTTAGCGTCGCAGTTCAAGCAGCTTTTCAAAGTGGATCATCAAATCGTAAACATAAACCGAAATTCGAAAGAGAGTGAGAGAAGAACCTGGAGTCGGAGACGTGCGCAACAACCGGAGATTCGTCGCCGAACAGATGGAAGAGATCGGAGAAAGTAATCGACAGAGATTCCAACGGGACAGCGATCGCTCTTCTCGATTGATATTCAATCTCAAAGTTAAAGAGTTCAACTCGCTCCAGAAGATCCGATCCAATGTCAGTACACCTGTTCCTCTTCCTACATGGACTCGGATTCCCTTCTATTTATTTTGGATTTATAGGTTTTAATTATTCATTTTGTTTTCAGATATTTTATTATTTAATTCCTCAATTTCCTAATGTTTTTTTTAAACTTGGTACAAAAAGTTATTTTAGTTTTTATCGTTAATTTTAAATTAATTATTTAACATAAATCTAAATCGATTTTAAATCTCAACACTTGACCTATTAACAAAAATCTAATGTTGCTACTGGCAAAGTTTCAAATGTTAGTTTTACGGAAACATGGATAAAATGTCTGATGGATCTTTTTAAAAAAATTATAAAAAAAGAAAAATATAATTAAGAATATTAAAATGAACAAATAATAATTTTACAATTTTTAAATAAGTTAAAAATTATTAGTATTAATATTATCTCCATATTAGTAAATATTCCGTTGATATTTTTTATATTTTGTCGATTTTTAAAAAACTATGAAAATGTCCATTCACCTTGATGTCGAATCCATGGACATACGTAAATGTCGAAAATGTCAAATATGCGGACAAAAATGTTGATACCTTGGTTACTAGAATATTAAATCTAATGTTGTTACCAAGTTATGTATTAACTATTTATTTGCCAATTGAGTTTAACATTTATATCCAATCAAAAGTTCGTGTATAACTTTAAAACATATAGACATGTTATAAATTTTAATTTATTACTTAAGTTATTGCAAATCAAAGTTCATGGACTGCATTCGATGTTTAAAAGTACAAAGATCAAATATGTATTTTTCCATCTAATTTCAGGTACGAGTTGATATTCACTCATCTAATAAATAGATGAAACGTGCGTTTTACTAAAGTAACAATTTAGATCATAAACTGTGATTTGTAATGATTTAGTCCATATCATTTCAAATTGGTAATAATTTAGTTCCTCTAATTTAAAATTTGTAATAATTTAATCTCTACCATAAACTAAATCGTTATAAACTAAAGTTGATGGACTATAATAGATATAGAATTATATATATATCTATGTTCGAACGAATTTCAACCTTTCTTGAATTACACAAAATGAGTGACGTTATGAACATGGATCAGATAAAAAGCAAAAACTGCACTCCATCTTAATGCCCAAATGAAGACTCGGTTCGGCTCCCAATAGCAAGCAAAATTTTACCATCTTATTGTAATATAAATTTTGGAAAACAATCAATTTGTTTTTTTAGATAACAGAGAACACAATCAAATGGTGAAGACAGTAGAATGTAACATTCCCAGGTTCCCAATTTCCTCACTGCTTCACAACTCAATTGGCTTGAAGCTAACCTACAGAGTGTCATCGGCTAATAGTGGTGGAACAAAGCTGCAATTTGGAAGAGTTTGCTCAAAGATGTGTCCCACTTTGAGAAGTTTACCCTGTAATGCATAATGGAATTTGTCAATGCTTCAGAGTTCTAAACTTCAAGTTCTCCACAAGGTTATACACTCCATAAGTTAATATGTTCTTCTCATGGTTGTCAAACAAATGTCTGCGTTATCGTTTTTCCTTAGTCAAATGAAGTATTGGGTTCTGTTATGAATCACTTCTAAGGTACAGGATTAACCAATTTGAGCAGTCATTTCAATACCAACCAACATTCTGTGCGATAGAGTAATCAATACCTCATCAAACGCTGCACCAATCATTTGAAGACCGACAGGAAGTTCAGAGGACCCGTCTCGAACAAATCCACAAGGCAACACCAATGCAGGTAGTCCAGCTAAGTTAACATTGACCTGGCAAGAGCATGGAAACAATTAAAGGAGAAGAGGAAAACAAAAATGAACCTTTGACTTGATGCTCATTGCCAACATAGATTAGATTGTCCAGAAGAAAAGAGATTGGGTTGCCAAAATCAATTTCGAGAAGACCTACAATATAGTTGTTTGGGAATTTCTTATAGAGGTTCTTGAAAGGAAAGATTTGGACACAAAGTGGAAAATTTGGAAAGTGTGGAGTTATGGATGAAGTTCTGGCACATCTTCTCTTTTCTTATTAATAGTAAAGCAAAAGGCTTCCTTTAAGCTTCAAAATGTCCAAAGCAAGGAGACCCACTGCTCCATTTTCTTTTAGTTTTAGGCTATAAAACACGGACACGGCAAAAAACGAGGAGTGTCTGTGTCGGACACGGATATGTCCGGACACGCTCCAGACACGTGTCCAACACGCAATTTAAAGTGTCCGAATATTAAATTTTTTATTTTAATTTCAAACACGTGGGGACACGTTTTGGACACAGGAGGGACACGCCAGATAAAAAAATATTATTTCCTTAGCCCAATTTTGGAAGTCCAAGAAGTTTGGCTGAAATCTCAACAACTTAAACTACAAAAAAAAAAACCCTAAAACGCTACCTAGTGACCCACCCTTCTGTTTGTGTGAGTTAAATTAAATAAGCTCTATTCTTACTTCCTTTTTTCCCTAATTTCATATGAATTAAACTGGAGTAGAATATGATTTACTAAATTAGGATGACAACTTCGACCCAATAATCAAATTCAAATCCTTCTCTAGGATTTTTTAGTGGATTACATTTACTATTGTTATGCTTTTTAGTGGGGTACATCTTCAACCCAATAAATTTACTTGACATTTATGTTTTTTAGCGAAGTATATTTAGCATTTTTATGTTAAATTTACCTATATACTAAAAAAAATAATAAATAAATAACGTATCCCCAGCGTGTTCGTGTCCTAGTTTTTTAGAAATTGACGTATCGCCGTATCCTGTCGTGTCCCGTGTCCGTGTCCGTGCTTCTTAGGTTTTAGGGGCAGAAATCTAATGGATAGGGAGATGTTGACAGAGTCTTTGGAGGGTCTCCTCGTGGGAAAGAATTATGTATGATTGAGCGAACTGACAACTTCAAAGAATATGGTCAAGATCTTTTGATGCATCTCTGCAAAGGGGACACCACTACGGCCCCAGAAATAAGACAGAACGCCTCTAACTATTATCCAAAGTACTGAATTTTCTATGCATGACCTGCCAAGCAAAAAAAAATTGATCTTTTCTGGAATTTTAACCTTCCAAGGCATGGAGAACGAGGCGGTATCGGGGGAGGGAGTACATAAAAAGGTGGAAAAAACAGCTACAAACAAACCCTCCTGCCGGATGTAGGAACCAAAAACGAGGTCAATATCTCCAAAGTCTCCCTATCTGTCAAAGGACGAGAGAGACGCAAAGAAAAGGACAAAGAACTAGCAAAGTCAATAAAACCGAGGCCACATCACATAATGTATCCTCCGGACAGACGATAAAGGTGGGAAAATAAGAGGCAAAGGGGTTTATCCCCCGCCCAACAATCCTCCCAAAAGTAAACTTCAGAGCCATCCCCAATGAAACACCTCACAAATTGGGAAAAGAAAATAAAAGAAATAGCTCTCCATGGGCTTCTAGTTGAACCCTTAAACACATTAGTAGAGACCTATTCAAAAGGATGTGGATCGTACTTGCTCACAATGATACTATGCCACTGAGCATTAGGTGAGATTAAATCAGTTCTAATGTGCTACAAAAATCAGATCCTACCTTGCTCCTAATTAGTGAGATTAAAAGGGCTTCATAAAATCAAGCCCACTCATTTTTTTGCAATGATTTTGCGACTAAATGCTTGGGGCTTCCAGTTTTACTCTGTTGGTATCTCCTGGTGCTTGCCCATCTTGTCGCAGAACGACAGTGTTGCAGCTTTATGGACAAATGCAGTCATGGCCCTCTTTAGGAAGTTCTGGTTGGAAATAAACCAAAGAATTTTTCAGGATCCCCTCACCCAGTTGATGATTTTTAGGATTAGTTAGCTTTCTTGCTTTCTCTGAGCATAAGGGTGCATTTAGAAGTGATTTTGGCCTATCAAAATCATTTATCTTCTCATCGATCATGTTTGGCAAATTAAAAAACTAATTTTAGGAAAATTTAAAATCACTTTAAATTGATTTTTAAGGTATCACTTGGATGGTAATTTTGGAAAATCACTAATACTTAAATCTATTTTTGCAAAATCACTCATCCTACCATCACTCCCAAATCACACCCTAAATTGACCAAAGGTTTTTGTAATTACGAAGTTCTTTTGATTTATTCCAATTGGGACCCATTTTTTAAAGTTCCATTGGCCTTGAGGATGATTCCCTTATCCCCCTCCTTTTGTCCTCCTTTTTATCCAACGAAAGATGCCCTCCAAAAAAGGTGACCTAACCATAAACCTTAAGATCTGGCATCTAAATGAAAATTGAAAATCCCAACCAAAAGTAGAAAGATTAGGTCTCCTGTCCTAATCTAGATTTGGAGACTTAAGTTGAAAGAGCTCTAATTCAAGATTCAGGTCTCCTGTTCTTTTTTTCTCAATTTTTATATCCGCGAGTGTTCGAGTCAATTTGCGCGCACGTCAACTAATCTCACGGGTCTCACCCTACTACATTTGGTGGCCAAAAGAACACATAGGAAATTAATTCCTAGGTAGGTGGCGATGATGAGGTTTTTTTGTCCCCCAATTACTTCCCTAGATATATATACGTCCAGATATACTATATATTGAAAAGCACTCAAAGTAGGAGGGGGTGCGAGCAGAAGTGCTTACAGTCATGATGTCACCTGCATACATTGCCAATGGATCGTTCACCTTTTCACCTGCCAATAAACAAATGATCATATAAGTACTTTACAACACATTGAAAGGGATTAAATCTTGGAAGGCGTACCAATTCTGTAAGCGGCAGATGGAGCAGCAGGTGATATTAAGATGTCATTTTCATCTAATGCAGCTCTGAAGCTTTTCTGAATAATGGTTCTCACCTGAAACACGATTGCATTCATAAGGAGGAGCCCCTTGAACTCTTATCAAAAAACATTTGGTAGTAAGGTAAGTTACCATGACAAAAGGCATAAAAAATGTTATTAACCATACGAGTTCCCAGAAAATAGTTATTACAGCACAAAAACACTATTTCTCAATGTATTGTTCACTAATCACTATTAGATTGAGGTTGTTTATTATTATTATTATTATTATTATTATTATTATTATTATTATTATGTCATTGAAAATGCTGATTCAAGGATGATTATCATAAAACCAACCAAAATAAATGAGGCACCTGCTGGGCACGCTTGTAGTAAGCATCATAATAACCGGCTGAGAGAGCATATGTTCCCATCAAAATTCTCATTTTAACCTGCAAAGGGAAAATGTGTTTATATGAACTCCCTGGGAGTAAAAACGATGAGATTAAAATTCTATACCACATTTCACAACTCAATTGTGTACACTCTAGAAAAGGATAAGAACCTCCTCAAGTAAATAAGAAACTCAAAGTCAAAATCTTCAACATCAATCCAAGAGAAATTTCAACAGTTTCCAACTAGTACCTCCGAACCAAAGCCTGTTGCTCTAGAATTTTCATACAGACCAGTTAGCTCATCAGCAACAGCTTGATTTCCATATCTATATGTAGGTAATAGTGTCAAATTGAATCAGAATAAGTTGTTATCACAATATGGAAACAAATACAAAAGCACCTGGAAATAATATTTAAGTATTTCAACTAAGACAACCAGAAAAAAAGTATTTCAAAGGTTTCTTCAACTAAGACAACCAAATAACAATTCACTGGATCTAAAATCAATATTAATCTCATGCTGCCCGTGCTGACAAAGTCTGCTAAAGAAACTTCATTAACCTAAACATCGCTAGCAACTTCCTCTGTCTTCTCTTGATGAAAGATATTAGCTTCTTTTTGTTTGAAGAACAAACAAAATATTTCAAACAACAAATGTATGCCTGCAGCAAGGTACCTGACACCATCATATCGTGCTAAGTTTGAAGATGATTCAGATGATGCAAGAATGTAATAGGCAGGCAGCCCAAGGGAGAATGATGGCAGTGATACCTAAAAGAGAACTAAATTAAAATTAAAATAAAAAAAAGGGGGAGAAGAACAAATGCAAGTCAACAAGAAACTAGAGCACCAAAAGCAATAAAATTAAAAAAATATATAAACCTCATTGACGGAGCATCCTAGTTCTTCAAGATGTGAAGCAGCAGAACGTATTGCAGAATTTACTTCACTATCAACACCATTATCAAGAGTCTCACGAATCAGACCAATCCTCAATCCTTTCAAGGGTTTAGATTCCAACAAATCAGCAGCAGTAAATTGCGATGTAAAGTCAGGAACCTCCTGAAAGACATGTTCACAAAAACAAACTAAAAAATGCTACAAGAATGCACCACACATTATGAAATTACACAAGAAGTGATAACAATGCAAGCTTCATTATCTTATTCTACAATTCCAACTCATTAATTACAGCAACGTGATACTATCAAAGTCACTTAACAACTACTGAATCTTCCAAGAAGCAGGCATAGGTTAAACTTTTCTTTCTGATGCTCAATTCTCTAAAGAACACATATAATTTATAATTTATAATTTACAATTTATTCATCTAACAGTCACAAAAAGTAATCATAGAGTAACCAAGGAGTCAATCACCAAAACAAAACAAAAAAAGAAGAAAGAAAGGAACAAGGCAAGAAAGTCTTTACTCGTTTGCTACTAGTGGAATCAAGTGCATCATGACCAGAAATAGCATTTAGAAGAATCCCAGCATCAGCAACCGTTGTACCCAAGCAGCCAATAACATCGAGCGATGAAGCGTAAGCCATAAGTCCAAACCTCGAGACACGACCATAAGTCGGTTTCAACCCAACAACCCCACAGAAAGATGCTGGCTGCCTCACACTTCCACCTGTATCACTTCCCAAAGACACCACACACTGCCTAGCAGAAACAGCCGAAGCAGAGCCTCCAGATGACCCTCCCGGCACTCTACTCAAATCCCACGGATTTGCAGTGACCTAATGAATGAACAGACGCACCACCTGAGTAAACCAACCCTGGTTACCAGTGGGAAGTAACACCACAGTCGCACTTTTACCATATAACATCCTCTTTATATAATATTCCAATGATAAACCCCATTGAAATTCCCCCTATTAACTAAACTTCAAGACAAAAGTAATGCTAAGAGAAAAACAAACAACCACACACACTCCCTGTCCCATCTTTCCTAAAACCCAAGACGACAAGAAACAGGGGAAAGCTATAAATATCATATGAAAGTTGGAAAAAAACGCAAACCTGGAAAGCAGAGCCTTCAGTGGAACTACCCATGCCAAACTCATCCAAGTTGGTCTTCCCGACCACAATCCCACCCAATTGCTTGACTCTCTTCACAGCAGTGGCATCGAATGGCGGTCGATAACCATCCAGAATCCGAGATCCACCAGTGGAAGGCATACCCGCTGTACAAATGTTGTCCTTGACACCCACAAGCACCCCAGCAAGAGGACCCAATTCTTCATTTCTCTGAATTTTGTCATCAATCTCGCGGGCATCAGAGAGAACTAGTTCGGAGACGTGGAGAAAGGACTTGAGGTGAGGCTCCAATGCGCGAAGGCGGGTGAGATAGGAGTCAGCAAGTTGGGTGGCAGTGATTTGGCGGGAAAGAAGGGAATGGCGAATGGAGAGAATTTGGGAATGGAGGGGTTGGGAAGCGGTGGAGGTGGGAATTTGATCGGTGAGAGTGGAATTGGCGATGGGGTGAGGAGATGAGAGAGGGGTTTGCTTGGTGTGGAACAACAATGGTTTGGAGTGAAGATGGAAGCGAGAAAGCGAGCAGCGCGGAGGCTGCAGTGTGGATAGCATATTCGCTGCTGGACACAGCACACACGCAACGAAGTGTATACGATGATCGATATATATAGATATGAAGGAACCGAACCGAACCGATTCGGTTTTCTGTTTTGTTCATTTGGCGGGCTTGCTTATTTATTATTTAATACATTTTTTACTTCTTACTTGTTTTTATTTTATCATTCAAAAACAAACCAGAGAAAATTTGGGCCCTCGCCTCACAGTAACTCAGCCTACTCAGATTCGGATGCGAATGATGTTTTAATTTTTTTCTGAAAAAATTATAAAAATAAAAAACTCATAAAAACTATTTAAATTAACAAATTAGCATTTCATTATTTTCAAATAAATTAAAAATAATTAATATTAATATTATGTTTATATTAGTGAAATTTTGTTGATATTTTTAATATTTTGTCAATTCTTTTGTAATATTATAGAAATGTCGATTTATCTCTCAAATCGATGTCGAACCCCTGAATACATAGAATGTCGATGAAAATATGTTAACACGTCGACGGATATTTAATACCATGATACTAATACTAATAGTCTACTATCATAACGATAGCTTTTCGATGTGTTAAATTTTTTTTTTTAACTAACTAGAAGTACTTTTAAAACTTCCCATGATATTTGTTCTTGAACTTTAGATATTTTTGGAGGAAGGGTAACATTTTTCTTAAATAATAATTAAATAAAAAGAGCTTATTGTAAAACAAATATTTCATATTTGCATACACTTTTCTTAAAATAAAAATAAATAAATAAATAAATATATATATATATATATATTGTCCATTGCTTAGCAACACTTCATCATCCAAAGAAACCTATCTTATACATACATTTTCTTTCTTGATTCGACACCCATATTTTGAACAATATCATTATCAAAATATAACAAAGTATACCAACACTCTTCAGTGTATAGTCTGTATTCATACATAGTTTAATCATATATCAGTTTTGAACACGAATAAAAAAAACTGTCAATCTCAAAGGTTGATGGTTCTATCAACCACTCCGTAATATTTGAACTAGAAAAACCAGTGGACGTAAAACAAAACAGTATTTGGAGAGAGAACATTATGCAATATATTCAACCAATAGACTGAACATAAATTGACAACTTAATTTGCTGAAACAGGACCTAAATGAGAGAGACTGATTTCCAATCATGCATAAGAAGTATCAATCAGTTCCTCACAGCTTCTATTATAATGTACAAGGCAGATGACTATGCTGAGAGCAAGATTCTTTACATGATGTAGAGAAAGTTAATGAATCAAGGTTCACAAGTATTGAGATAGATCACCCTGGCCCTCCAAATCCCAAATGACCACTTTTCCATCCAATCCTGTAAAACCAGCCTCTCATAAGTTGGCAATCATTTTCCAGAGAACAAGAAGTTTTAGTAATATCTCTTCCTTTTAACAAACCTGAAGTGCTGAATCGCTTTATAGTGGAAGCCTTTGGCTCTCTAAGAGGCACAATACAACTACAGTTCCAAAAAGAAGTATTACTTCATGCACATTTAACAGTATGAAGGCTACCCCAAGTCCATAACCACTTTTTGCTAATCCACTCAGATTACCAGGCCTTCCCAGTAAAAGACACTTTGGATAAGCAATATTTAAGTGGCCATGGGGATGCACAAAGAGAAATAATCAACCAGATTAAAAGCAACAGAAAGGTTATTCAATAACTACGTACTTTATGCAGTTCTCATGAACGCATCCACGCAATCTTGAAGATTCAACCGAATCATTGCCAACACCATGTTTCGGTTGACCATATAACTTCCCAAATGCTTCTGAAAACTGATGGAGAAAAAAGGTATTTCACAAATAAGCGTGTTAGCAAAAGCAGCTAGCAAAGTGTATTAACTTCCAGCAATACTAATATTATTATTATTATTTTTTTTTTGGGATACAACATGTGGGGGTGGGGGTTTCCAGCAATACTAATATTATTAACTAAGCATGGGGCCACTTGACAATGCATTCTGTTTACAGCTTAAGTGGTAAAGTATTTGTTAACTGACAGAAACTTCAAGCGAGGCAATACCTGAGATCCATAATTTGAGCCTGAAGTTGCTTTCCTCTCACCAAGAAATCTTATAAAGCTCCTAGTTGTGGTGGGGGCAGGGAAGCAGAGAAATCACTTATATTCTTCAACAATTATAAATTCTTAAAGATAGACATTCCGTGTAGAGTTTAGCTCACCAGATCCCTCTTTCATCAGCAGCAAAAACCATAGGATTGCAATCATATCCAACACCTATAACCATTCTCTCAGAAACAAATAGTATCTGAAAGAGTGTTATATTGACCCAAAAAAATTCAAGATTAGAAATCGAAATAGTCAATTGTATCTAAATCATGATAAGAAATACTCGAAGAATAAAGAAAAATGGATGCTGACCCACATCACGAAGAGGCAAATCTCGAAATGGAACATTCTGAGCTAGAGGAGAAGGACCAACTTCATCAACAAAGTAAATCATCGAATTGTGACCTGCAAGCAACACATAAATAAAAGGCATATCAAAGGAAAAGAAGCAGGTCACCATCTAAACTAGAGCATAACCAATGAGGTTCTCATAGAATCCCATAACTTGTTTTCAACACCAAAATCAAAAGGTAATCAAAACAATACATGAAGTTTCATGGTTACAATTCTTAAATAACAAGTTATAAAAGTTAACCGATGAACTTTTCCACAGTTACAGTCAGAGGCAGAAATGATATATATGTGACTTGACTATATGAGTGAAATTCAAACTTGTTGCTATTTAACACGCTGTAGTTATAAGGTTATCTCTGTAAATAATATGCAGAGATGAGATATTTCTTACCTGCATAAGCTAAGGTATTGCCACTTGGTGACCACTTCACGCCAAATGCCCAAGAGAACGAAAGGTCAAGCTGAACAATTAACTAATTCACCAAAAGAAATTACTCGTGAATAATATGCACTACTACGCTCATCAAAATAGAGAGAGAAACTGTGGATAAAGATACTGAACCACGTCTTTTTCTAGGGAACATTTCAAAGCATTTAAATTTGAATTAAAAGATAACTATCAGAAAGCACTTGATGTGAAGAGTAATTTTTTCAAGTTTATTTTATGGCAAGGGTGGCTGCGAAACAAGGAATTATATTACAAACAATTACACTATTCTACTCTTCCAAGCACAAGAAGATTCATTGACCGCAAAATAAAAGACTGAATATCAAACCTCTCCGAACTTTGAATCTGAAAATGCACCGGCTTTTGAATCCCTGGGAAATTCCAATTAAGCATTAGTAACTTCTAAATCAATCCTAAAATATTTCATGAGATTACTACAGTCTAAACTATTCTCTACATACTTTTTGTCAACACCTTTAATGAAGGTGGAAAAGATTCGACATTTCCCATCTGTTGAGGTTGTTGCAAGAAGCAGCTGTGAATAAAATGTAGAAGAAAGTTCATAACCGAAAAAGGCAACCACAATTTTGTTCAGAAAAACAAAGTTACAAGCAAGCGCTAAAATATACTTAATTTGAGATCTTCTAAAAATCTAAAATTAACATTCATATAAATTCAGAAATATAAGTGGATAGAAAGATAAAACAAACATTATTGGGATGCCAAGCGACATTTGTCACAGAAGAATCGTGTCTTTTCCTGATAAGTTTACTGACCCACCTGTGGAAGGTAAACCATGAACATGTCAAATATGGAAAACTAATGCATAAGCATAATTAGGTGAAGCAATAATAAAGAGATTTGTCATTTCTGATAAGAAACAAAAATATATTAATTATGAAAAGAAAATAAACCAAAGCATCGGATTACAAAGCCCATGGAACAAAAAGATTGCATATCACAAGAAGCAGCCCAAACATATAAAGAGAAAAATAGATACATAGACATAAATGAATAAAACCAACAAAAAGAGAGTTCACTAAATATGCACCTCCACAGCATCCTGCCTAGGTCAAAGGAAAAATATTATGGTATAAATATAGAAATCATCAACTGTATCAACTGAATTTTGATTCCATTCCTCCGCATAATATGGACTATTAGTTCAATCTAATAAAATTTGATCAACCATATAAATACAGTAAATGACTTATAACATTTTTCATAAACAAATGCATAGAAGCATGCACTGATTCCAAATATGGTCCACAAACTAAACTTTTTGCATCAAGTGTCGGAAAGAAAATAAACACCAAAGTTTGAGAGAGCCAACAGCAGTCGTAAAAGAACCATGATGAATTTCGCAGGCATTTGACTAACGTTTTAAATAACGGTTCTAGTTCAACTTATGCAGGTCAAAGCTAGAATATACAGATTTTTTCTTAAATAATATAAGAACTAATAGCAACAACTTCATCAGATAAAAAAGTTTCCATCTGAAAAAATAAAAGCAATAGACACAATGGCTTGAACAAAAAAAATAAAGAAAAAACCATACCAATTATTTTCTTGTTCATAGTAGCATATGCAAACAGTTTTTGCTCCACTTCCAACAGCAAACTTGTTTTCTAGGGCAAGGAGGAAAATAAAGCATTTACAAGAGAAGTAAAGACTGAAATTAGATCAAAGTAGTATTTTCTTCAGGATATTATAATTTATGAATAACAATAAATTATGTAAGAACTTAAATGGCATTGACCAATGCAGGAAAAGAAGTGATAGACAAAGCCACTAGAGTCATTTGATAGATCCTGATCCTTATGGTATATTCACATAAGAAATGGAAGAGTAGGCCTAATTAGTATTATGTCGTAATTTTTTGAAAAAGATACGAACTTCTCATTGAGATATGAAAAGGAAATTAGTATTATGTCGTAATTATAATGGTGTGGGCCCCAAAGCTTTTTAGTTAGTCACTGGGGGGCTGTTGTGTGAATATCGTTCAAGAGAGAAAGAGTATATAGGGCAAGGAAGCAGTGGATTACACAATAGGTATGTTTTTTGGTATATTGGTGCTTGAGTGAGTCTTGGGAGAGTTAGAGAGATCTCAGATCTTTTATACCTATGATCTATTTCAATAATCCAGTACCCATCAGCATTCACAAAGGGGCCAAACACTATAAAAAACAACACACGAAATTATTTTCACATTTTGTCCGAGGGATTTTCATGATCCAGCATATTAACAGAAGATATGTAAACCTCAAGAATCAGTTCATGTTTACCAATACCAGGTCTACTTGATATCACATTCATAAATAACATAAATGACAAATCTTTTAAATTTGGAAACTTCTTTAACGGGATTCGGGTATTCACAAATTTCTTGTGAGCAGAGGTAATGGAGCATTGACTAAAATTTTATTAAAACTGATTGCACGATTGACTAAGCTGATTAAGAAATTTAAGGATGATATGAACAACAAAAGCGAAGAGTGAGAGCAGGGCAGGAAATACCCCATTACCTTTGGGACTCCACTGAACACAAAGGGCAGCACGGTTTAGTCTAAGAATGACCAGAGTTGGCACCCATTCTGATTTTTCAAGGTTCCAAACATATCTAGAAAAAAAGAAGAAGTATGTTTGGAGGCCAATATGGTACATATAAACAAGTAAACGTCTTGAAAAATGATCTAAAATAGACCAGACGGGGATTGGAGGAGGGAGCGATAACTAGAGGGGAGAAAACATAAATATTACTTAAGATAACACTTACGAATTTCGATCATGGGATGCAGTCACAATTTTGTTCGACCTTACACTCCAGTCTATCCCAGAGATAATTTGATCATGCTGACACAGAAAAAGTGGATAAATTGATAGTAATTAACAAGATGCCTTTATCGCAATATTTTCACTTCAAACTAACTACACAGGACCTGAATAAAAACAGGAAATCATCACCCATGTATAGAAAGAAAAAATGTAAAAGGTACCTTTTGAAGAACATGTACTCTCTCCCAGTTGTCTTGTAATGACTTATAAATGTGAACTTCATTATTGTTTGGACAAAATGCAACCACTACAAGATATGTCAAAAACATTAGCTCAATAGCAGTAAAATCATGAACCTGCACATAAATTGGACATATCGTCTTTTGCATAATTATACAAAGCAAAGTAACAAAAAAAATGCTCCCACCCCCCACCCGGTTGGCGGCTGACCAGACAAAGTTAGCAGACCAATCTGATAACTGCCCAACTTCTCCAATAATTTTAACATTTGTAACGGGGATGATCAGATCAGTCGAAGGAGATGCCAGAACTCATCTGTTAAAGGATCTCTGAAGCTAATCATCGGCATAATTAGCATGCATCTTTCCCCATAAAACATTACATTTTGGTCATTGTACTTTAAAGAGGAGGGAGGTTGAGGCACAGTAACCTATCCTATTGTTTTTTTCCGTCATTTCTCAATAAAGCAAGCTAAATCTAGATCGCTAAAGCTGAATTAATATCATTGCACTCTCTTGAATTGCTCAGAAAATATAGAAAGGCGATCTCAACATATAAAATTCATGACTAAGTACTCTGGTCCAACTTTTTCCTATACTGAGGACAAATAAATTACGGAAAACTCGACATTTCCATTCCTTTTCTCCCGCACAGAAACAGAATGAAAATTTTAAAGAAGCGAAAAAAAGGAGAAGATTTATTACTAGAACGGTCAGGGCTCCAAGCATGACAAGTGATGCACTGAGCGAACTGGTGAACTGCAATTGCTGTCATTGTATCCCAGCTCCAGTAGGGATAATGTTAGAAATTCTCAGGATCAACGATGGCGCGATATTCCAGCTTCCAGGTGATTTTCTTGAGCAATTGCTAGGGATTCTCGAGGTGAAAGTGTATAGTGATTGAGAATTACAGCCGCGAGGAGATCTCAGAAACACGAATGCGATCCAAATGGAAAAGCGACCATGGCGAAAAATAGCAGGCGTGTGTATTAAGAAAGATTCTGTCTACACCCAAATAAAATAATGAAATTAAGCCAATGCTTATGAAATCTTCATCCCACCTTATTTCTTACCTAATTATCATTTAATGGGGAAAAGAAAGGGCTTAATATCTTTTTGAAGAAGGAAACTATTGAACCCTTTAAATATTTTTTTTCTCTGTTTTTTTTTACCACACCATTTTAGAAGTGGAGATTTAAATTTGGTCAGATATATACCTATTTTAATCGATTAAGTTAAGTTGACTGTACCCTTAGGCTTAAGCTAAAAAAAATTAAAAATAAACTAAGTAAATATAGTTTCACATTACCAATAAAAGCTCTTTTTTCTTAGTATATTAAAGGTGGGATAGGAATTTGGAGTAGATGTTTGAATCATAAATTACTACTTTGTTATAATATTTTAGAAAAATTAATACCGAAAACATATGAACTTTAACGTAAAATAATCAAGACATGTATCATCAATTCAAAATTTGAGATTTGAATATTTATCTGCACGTGTCGTCGACGTATTTTTTCTATAACCATCTCAACCTCGATGGTTTGATCCCTACCGCAATTGAAATTGAGAGACTATTTTTTTTTTTAATTTCTCTTTGTTCCAAAAATAATTCCAACATTGAGTGTCGTATTTAATCACCCAATCTTGAACAAAAGCTACGCAAAGCTGTGGGCTTCAAACGAATGCTGTAAAACTTCGTCTTACACATTCAGCTACACATTTTTTTCTTTACGCCAATTCTGGCACAACCTAAAGTGGTTTTACAAACTATATCTGCACATTCCTTCGCATCTTTCTCTCATTCATTCATGGATCAGATTTGACAGATGGCAATGGGGTGTGACTTACGAGATTCTCATTCTCTTCTGCCTCCACATTGGAACTCAAGGAATCACTGGGGAAATCGTCCAATGATAAACTGTGGGTGGGGCTCAATTGTTGCCAAAAGTGATTTCTGAGGGCCTTCAATTTGGAATTGATGGCTGAAAATCCTGGATCAGAGAGAAGGGCTTGGACTGGAGTTCGACCTTCGAGCATACTGACCACTTGGGACATTAGAGGCCGCAGAGTGGGGGATGCGTTGGTGCAGAGGAGAGCCACGTTCAGCATCACCATGGCTTCTTCTGATACATAATCTGACCCCAGGGCTGGGTCTACCAACTCCAATAGGTTTCCTTTTTCTTGCAGAACAGATGCCTGTAACATTGGGAAGAAACTTAATGGAAATACTTTGTTGTGTTGTATGGATTGGAAACTGTTTAGTTGGAGATGACCATTTATTTGTGAAATATGAAACTACAAAATCATTGAAATTATAATCAGGTTTAAAACTAATGGAAAAAAGGGCAACAGAATCAAAATATTGAGCAAGCAAATGAGTTGCAGGATTAGTAACCTCTAATGATGACCTATGTTTTAGAACAATAAAAACCATGATGCAGGTTAAATATATATATTTTGAACATGCACTCGAAGCCTCAAAACATGGGAATCAACAGAGAAATAGGGAAGAACTTTTAAGGTAATTATTTTTACCCAATCAAGAAGGTAAATAAAATCCTCCTTAGGCCTGTAGTTGGTATTGCTTTTGCCACTGACAATTTCCAAGGCAACAACTCCAAAGCTATAAACGTCGGCTTTACTGGTCAAGCATCCACGCATTGCATATTCAGGTGCCATGTAACCACTACAAAAACATCGATCTTAAAAACCTTGTATTTACACCAAAATTAAACTACAATGTTTTAATAAACAATAAATCAAATCTCCCAACACTGTTTTATAGCGATGAAGCATAAATAAAACATTTATTTAAACCCAAAAGGAATATCAAAGCAAAGGACAGATTAGAGTATCAGTACTGTTATGCTTCAATTTCGAAAAACAATCTTTGGCCGGTTCCAGACTCAAATTCACCACCATGTTTTAAACCATAGAAGATTTTCACGTAACTTACATGGTTCCGGCAACTCGGGTGCTGATATGGGTATTGTCATCTTCATGAAGCTTAGCCAAACCAAAATCAGAAATTTTAGCATTGAAATCCTTATCAAGCAACACATTACTTGTCTTGATGTCCCTATGTACAATTTTTAATCTCGACTCTTCATGCAGATAGGCTAAACCTCGAGCTATACCCAGGCAAATTTTCTGCCTGGTAGGCCAGTCCAATCTCAATCTAGATGCTGGGTCATTTTCTGCATACACACAATACAAAAGCAAATAAGTTTTTTGATACTGATCAAAATTGTTTGGAATTGACAGACTTCAAAGTTGCTGAGAAGTGCAAGTTATACTCACTAAAAAGGGCACGTGATAGGCAATTATTTTCCATGTATTCATAAATCAACATCAGTTGGTTCCCATCAACACAACATCCATAAAGCTTGACAAGATTTGGGTGTTGCAGTGCAGATATCATGCCTATTTCATTAACAAATTCTCGATTTCCTTGCTTTGATTTTGACGATAGCTGCTTGACTGCAATTATAGTGCCATCTGACAAGAGACCCTGTATCAAAATGAAGTGTCCCAAAATTTCCCCATTAAATTTTATAATTACCATCACTTTCTCCAGTAGTTAGTGCCATAGTTTTGTTGCGGAATTAATTTATGCTTGAAAGACCTAAAAATAAATGTATGTTTGTAATCCGTGGTCTTGATATGTGAAAAGTAACAACATCATATAAGTCTAATAAACAAAGTTATGGAGCCTAGAGTATGCATAGGTAAAAGACTTCATGGACTTCACCTTAAATAGTCACTTTTGAATTTTGAAATGATGTGACCTTTTTGTCAATAGGGCATATCATAAAAAGCATATGATTTAGACATTCGATACCTATTAGCAAAAACACTAGTTACCTTGTACACTGCACCAAAACCACCTTCCCCAACTTTGTTTGCAGCATCAAAATTCTTCGTGGCTGCTTTAATTTGTCTTATTGTAAATAATCCTGTTTGCAGGTCTATACCTCTAAGCTCTGCACGGATTAGACTTGAGGTGTCAGAGAAAAGTGGCAAAATACAGAAGTTAACAAGGTAACCACGCCAAAATGGAAATTTTGTTGAAACATATAGAACACGAAAGTCACACGTAAAAGCCAAAATTGAGGATGTATTTTAGGCAATGAGATTAACTGCATTGGAATTCTGAGTTAAAAGTTGAACACGTAGAATTTGACACCACCATTTTTTTTTTGTGTGTTTATTTATTCAAATAGGCACAGATCTCAGAAGTAACCAGCAAGCTAGTAAAGAGACTGAGATCTCTAATGGGAGGAGAAATATTCAAATTTATAATGATTAAGAATTTTAGCATCTCGGAATAAATAATAGAAAAAATTACATTACTAACCACAAAGCATTTAATGTTCCAAGGATGTAATAAAGAGATGAAACTATGGAAAGTAGATTATTTCAACAACTTGGATATCATGTTCTCTCTCTCTCTTTCTTTATTGGATAGGAAACTCAAGATAATATTAGAGATCATGTTTTCTTTTTCGTGTATAAATAAGGCAAGTTTTCCAAATCTTCGATTTTTCTAAGGAATATGTAAGGAAAAGAAAAAACAAACAGTCAGGTACAGATATCTTGAGTTCTGATGATGTCCGGGTTAAAGTTCATATCAAATGAAAACTATATGCAACTTCGGTTTTCCATAGAGGCAACACATATGTTGAGTTCAATGGAAGATTATACCTTTATCCACAGATGCATTGCCTCCCAGCCATCCCTTCCTCCTCATAATACCTAACACCAGAAGAAGGAGAACAAATGCTGCTGCTGTTGTCCCAATAATTATGATGGCGTGATTCTTCTTCACGGGGTTCACAGGAGGTGTAAAATCTGTGAAGATGGATAATTTTCTGATCAGAAATTAGAACAGAATCTTATTAAATATAATTTTATAATAAAACTAGAGTCTTTGCATGCTAAGCATCGAAATAAAATTAAATTTAAACCAGATAATAAAGCATATAGATGCACTCCTGATGGCCTTTTCAAACGTCAGATCAATCTTGAAACCTCGTCCTCTTCAAGTTTTTGTAACCATCTCAATTTATTTCTGTATTTATTCTGATTAAACAAAATGGTATTATTCAAGAAAAGTACAAATAGTTAGCCTCCCGCAGAAGGACACAGGTTCAACCCTAACCCATGAGGTAAGGAAGATGATTTTTTTTTAAGGAAATACACGCATTTAATTTTCCGTAAGCAGAAAATAAGATATTATCAACCCTTTGGTGATGGAAGACCATAGTAATCAACCAACTGAATAAATCCCTATGGAACTGAGTCAAGGTAATCTTTTTGCAAATATTATAACCAATAGCACAAACTGAACGAGTTGCAATCTTAAAAGTTATGTTCATTTTTTATATACTAATTGCCACTGCTACTAAATTAAGTTTTGGGTTTAAGCCTACAAGGTTTGCTCGTACTCCTGCCGCTCATGACTACTATATGAATCTCGCAAATTTAACTGCTAGTAAGAAAGTGAAACGCAGAAACTTACAAAAATCACGTTCTATAACTTGTACATTCATCTAACTAGCAATAGAAGGTAACAGGTGTTAGGTAATGATTCCATTATTTGTTTCACGACTTGGGAAAACTTACTAGGATCTACTGAAATAGCAGATATCAGAGGGCCGTAATTTCCTCTAAGTGGGATTCCTGTTGTCCCTCTTCCAGCCCAGTAGAAATGGATCTTCAATGTATGACTCGTGACAACAGCAGTAAATGTTTTTATAACAGGCTTGCCTGTACCCCCTGCTTCATTTTCTATATCAAAATCTTTCAGGACCAGCTTTTCCTGCAGTCAAACAATTGAAATAGCTATCAATATCCAACAATATGATGACTGACATTCTTTTCCAGTCATAAATGTTCATAAACCAATACCTGGATGTACACATCAAAAATTCGTTTCCCAAGGCTGTTGAATGAACTGTCATTTATAAATACGATTTCTGCAAAGTGGAGTTTAACAGTATAATTCCCATTTATGAGACAGAGCCCATAGTATGTAAGAGATTGAGGAGAAATTCTTGCTCTTGTGTACAGTTCTGAATCAGTCACAGACACATTTGAAAGGGCAGATGTATTTGTTATGATATAGTTATCAGCATCAACGTCATTGTCCATAAAACTTCCCGTGCTGCTAAAAGCCCAATTCTGACCGGTATAAAACATTGAAGCACCTTCTCTATCCGCTTCATACCTTTCACCCTTTACAAATGCTTCTTTACCGCCACAGTTAATGTGCAAAGAGTAGCGATCTGATAAAGTTTTGACAATTCAAAACAGTGTGAAAACCTCCCTTCAATTCACGTAATCATAATAAAAGAAAAGTTTTCTTCAAAACTGCCAAGAAAACAAAAGCTATGAGCTCCTGATTTCAGATTTGATATTATCCCTCATTTATATATTTCAACAGGATGTATTATTTCAAGAAATGAAAAATCATTTGGAAGAGTTGCCACATTATAAGGCCAGACTTGTACTCACGCTGTTCCTTTGATGCAGAACACGGGAAGTTCCTTTTTAGGCAGGGATGGATTCTAGTTCTGTGAGCATGCAATAAAACTGAGCATATCATTTTAAAAATTAGGACTGTTATCTAGAGATATTCCTAATGACTAGTTTAGCATTCAATAAATTTTATTACGGGCACAGAAGCCTTACAATTTTTCTGCAGCCGGTGAGTAGGTCTCTACTAAATTTCTGTGAAAATGAGAGAAATTTTCTTTTTGTTATTATCCAGAATGATGCTCCGGAACAAAGAAAGTAATCAATAACTTCAAAGTACTCTACTCACACACTCCCTCGAGGACACTCAGCTGGGCTCGAGCTTTCCCAAGTAAAATTGTTGTTAGAAAGATCCCTGAATAAGAAAGATAAGAAAACGGAAGCAGTTAGCTATAGCAATGTATATTATATGCTTTCACAACAGGTATTTGAAGTGAGGATTAAGTACAAAAAATTATTCCGGAGGAAAAGGCATACACATTCTTGTTGCTTCCTAAAATCCATCCTGGAATAATTCCATTGAGCTTGTTTCCTGTCAAATATCTTCAAAAATACTATAAATATTAAAGAATGATATTACAAGACGAGAAAAAAAAATAAAAGAATGATAACTGATAATTTCACTTACGTTGAAGGAAGGAAGATAGATTCTAGATATAATTTTAACTGCTTCGGAGGCAGCTTGTTAAGTGAAAAAGGGGGGGTGGGAGCCCGTAATGATACAGCTGATTGATTTTACTTAAATGTCGTGTAGAAAAAAAAGTTTTGAGCAAAGATGGAGAAATTAGATTTTAGGTTATATCTCTTGCACAAACTTTGCTGTATTGGTTAAGAGTCATCTAAGAGGAAAAATTTAGGGGTCTATGACCTAAGGCAAGGAGACCTTTTCCCTTTCCTCTTACCTTTGTTCTTGATTCCTTTAGTTATTTGGCCGGTAAATGCCAGGAAGAGAGGTGAATTGAGACATAATAAGTGGTGGTCAGCAAGTGCACATCACACATATTCAGTATGTGATACCATCTTTTTCAGTTGAATTGGGGTGCCCTTCACAGAGTTTTTTCGTAAACATGCACCACCTATGATTAACCTAAGCTGGGTCTTTTGTTTAATCGTAATTTCAGGCAAGGGGCATCCTGTCTCCTTAGCTTCTCAGCTGTTTCTTTTTCTCCTAATTAAGTTTCTGTTTCTTATAATGATTTATAATTATGAAAATAATCGGGGAAGGGGACTGTGATGGGATGGGGAAGGATGAGTCCACTTACATGTAATCTATTTTATCTAGTTGATCGAAAGAAGCAGGAACTTCGCCAGTCAAGTCATTGTAGCTGAGGTCTCTATATAAATAAAGCAGTGTCACGTTAAGACTTCTTGGAGACAAAACAGAAGGAATTAGAGCAACAGAGCATTAGGATTATTACTGAGTGGTTAATGAAATGAAAATGGCAAATGTAAAGCGTTTTTAGGATTTACTAAAATAACTTTGACATTTCCTGGTAAGTTCATTTTGTTACAAGGAGAAATGAGGGTTTCTCAAGAGCTTTTAACCATCATTTGAACAAATTCATTCTTACTTCTTAAAACAAGAGACAACCTCTTGACCCTACAATATTTGTTAAGCAAATTCATTCTTACGACTTACAAGTTTTTCAATTTTTTCATCTCCCCGATGTATTTGGGGATTTCTCCAACAATGAAGCAATTCCTCAGTATCCTGCATCCCAACATCAAAGTCATGTCCCTGAACAATAAATGTGGAGAGTGGCAGAAAAACAAAAGCAAAGTATTCAACTAACATCGTCTTCATGGATTCCATTTTGCTCAACGGTGGAAAAGTGGACCTTCCACCTTTTAAGTCAGATATTCTCCTGAAAGTTTGAAAAATTTATAAATCACTAATTACAATAACTGTCAATATCCAATATTCTCCTAATTACAGTATCAAAACTGCATACAGATCAGTTAAACTTGTCATGGTGGAGATACTTGAAGGTATGGGCCCCTCGAGGGAGCAGCCTTGTATATGCCTGCAAGATGGAATAAATTTAACCGATCATCACTTTCTTTAAATATTAAATAACAGATGAAGCAGTAAAAAGTCACATGAACAGAGCTTACAGTTTTTCAATCTGTGTCCAATTGCTAATGAACTCGGGTATCTTTCCAGAGAAGTTGTTGTCACTTATCCTCCTTAATAATGTATGAAAAACAAATGTTAGCTGCAGAAATGAAATGTATAAAATAAAACATTAAGCAAAATGCATGGCTTCACTGAACGACGGATCAGAATGCCAGAACGTTGAGATGTTGGATATTGACAGTTAAATAAGTCATTTTCATTGGATTGAATGGCATTCAAGAAGCTTAAGATCTCATGTGAAGGATAAACAAGCAAAGACCCAAAAGATTTTTAAGATTAAGATGGTAAAGTACGTATTCGTTAATCCTGTAACAGAGAACTCAAGATGGAGTTTAACACACTGTTCTCAAAGAGATCACGGATTCCTGTCATTTAGGGAACAAATACTGTTTTTCAAAGAAAAATAATTGAAAAATGGTTACTTACATATCAGTTAAGTTTGACAACTTCGCTAGTGCTCTAGGCAATTCTCCGGTCAAGGCATTTGATGCCAGAACACTGAGGAGACAACATCACGATATTATGTGCGAGAGTTAAAACATTTGGTGAGGGTGTCACTCTTACCCAGTAAAAAAGCACGTCGAAAAGGCTTACAGTTTTTGCAAATTGACAAGTTTTCCGACCTCTGGTGGTATTCTGCCGGTAAATTGATTTCCTTCGATGCTCCTGTCAAATTTTAAAACAAACAAACACCATTAGAGAAACCACCGTAAATGATTTTCCAGAGTTGAAGCGATGTATTCTTTTTCAAGTATTCTTCTTTTTTACTGAAGGATTCACAAGTTGATTCATTATGGGCTTTGGTGTCCATGAGTTAATGGCCTCTATCGTCGTTGGTTTGATGACACACGCTTCATATGTATTTTTAATCATGCAAACTGAACCAGAGGCAACTATTACTAATTAGCATGTGCGCTTATAAAAATTAAATAATTGACATACAGGTTTCTGAGAGTGGTGATATTGGTAAGAACTTTCGGGAATGGGCCGGACAATCTATTTCCCATGAAAGAGCTGCACATAAAATTAAAGAATGCATAAAATCAAACTGCATTTAAGTCCAGACGAGCTTCAAGAATTGACAGAAAGAAATAACTCAAGACACTTACAGTTCTACCAATCGTATGGTAGCCCATTGGGGAGGGATAGAACCAGTGAGACAGTTTCGACTGAGATCTCTGATAAAAGAGAACCAAGTGCGGAATTACGAGTATTTCACACAAGTTTAACAAATTATCAGGTCCTTTAAGAGTTTAACGTATCAGAACACTGGTTTCACACTTTTACTTACAGCTGTTTGAGGTAACGAAGCTTGGAAAACTCTGGTGGCACGACGCCAGATAGATTCTGGGACTTTAGCGCTCTGAGCAAGTGATGAAATCAAATTAGATTGTAAATACATCGAAATAAGTTCGTCCAGAAAACTGACTAGAGAGTCTACTGAGAACACCAGCACAACAACGTAAATAACTCTGGAGGTCATTTTGCAGAAATTACGCTGCGATCGTGGTGTATATTCAATTATCAAATAAAAAGAGGGAGAGGAGAGAGAATAAATCATCGGTGACAGGTGAAAATGCAAACATCAACATAAGCAAGGAAATTTCAGCATCAAGGAATGTAGTAGGCCGTAGAATCTATTCCACCGGAAAGACTGTGATTATTCATACTTGAAGAGAAAATTGAAAATCAGCAGCTACATTCGGAAAACTCAACCGCACAATCCAATCCAACAAGATGAAAAGGACTACAAGTCCATCAACGTTCACTTAAAACCAGTTCAACAGTCACGATACTAATTGCAAACTTATTAGTTAATGGTCCAATCCGAAACTGGATGAACATGAACAGCGAACTCGGTTAAAACAAACAGATAGCAGTAGCTCAAACTCACAAAAGCTAAATTTCAGATATCAATAAGGGATCTGAATGGACCTTAGGCAATGTCAATGTCAATAGAGGCAGACGATAAGCTCCGCCATTACAGTGATCCATGTAGAGCATGGATAAACCTCCTAAACAATTTGACCAATGTAAATCCATTACACCTCCATTGATCCAAACTCGAATATTAGTTTCTTCTCGATCTCGCAATCTAACACGCAAGGCCTGTGGTATCTCAACGCTCTGTTCACTCTTCCCAGTCATTAGGCCAAGCGGTTCAAATGGCTGATCACTTCGTATTGCAGGTTTGCAGAAAACTTTTCCCGGGAAATTTCAGTTCCAGAGTTTTTGGCACCCCAGAAAGAAATTAAAAAAAAAAAAAATTTAAAAGTCCAAGGGCATAGATCAAAGCTGGACCCTCATATCTTTAGGCCAGGGCCATTGACATTGATATGCCCAAAATCAGGTCAGGCTGAGCCCAAACCTTTTGTTGTTCAGTAGGCCCAATATTTCTTGGGCCCCTTATTCGATAGCCAGCGGCCCAGAGAAGTAGGCCTCTCTCTCTCGGCACTAGCGTGTCTTTTCCTTTTTTCCTTTTTCTTTTTTATTATGGCCGAAATTGGTGCAAATCCCAATTCATATTAATGATAGACTTTTCAGGCCAAAAGAAAGCATGAAAGGTATAACTTCCAATCATTTAGACAAAAATATATATGAAAAAATATATATATAATACTTTTTTTTATATAGACTCTAATATTTTTTTTTGACAATAATAAAATATATTATTTTATTTAGTACAATGTATTTTTTTAATACAATTTGTTGGAGGTAGAAGATTGAATTTACAATCTTTTAATTAGAAATATGTATCAAATCATATATCAACTATTACTGGTTTAGAAATATGTATCAAATCATATATCAACTACTGGTGCACTAGCTTTGGCCAATAAAATATATTACAGTTTACATTATAAATTTTGTATTATAATTATTATACTGTTTGCGACAAACGATAATGATATCTTTTTTCCTTAGCATTAACCGAGAACTTCGTGGTTGTAATACTAATACCACACTATGCACTAAAATAATAAAATCACCGACTCACGTGCTATAACTTTTAATTTTTCATTGTCAAAAAGGAAAAAGAGAAAATAAAAACTTTTAATTTTTCATAACAACAATGTCAGTGCCAGTAGTGAACAGTAGTTGAATAGTGGCAACGATTTAAATATACTTACCACTATTAAAAGCATTGATAATATAAGAGCTTAAACATTATAATAATTATAATTTTGTGGTTTTAAAAAAAAATAGAAGTATATTAGGTCTTTAGGTTAATTTATTTCAAGTTAAAAAAAAAAATTTGGCTGAAGGAGGAGAACAGAGTCAAAGGGAGAGAGTGAGGAAAAAAGAGAGGATCGGATCGTACATGGCGACGATATGGCAAGTGGAGTTGTGGTTGAAACTGCAATCGCAGGTGACGGAGCTTTCGAAGCCTTTTCTTCCATTAACGCGCCAATTTCCTTCTCCACTGCAAGGATCTTGAGTGAAATTCCAGTCGCTTTTCCCTATCTTCTTCTCGATCTCTTTCAACGCTTTCACTGCAACACAACAATTCGCATCAAATTTCTGTCAATTCGCCTGTTTCAGTTCCGCCACAGCTTGAATCGGAGTGAATCGATTAACTCCGAGCAATTGAGCTTCGAAGGAGAAAGAAATCGATTGAAATTTGGGGAGATCAATTTTTTTCTGTTTCCGTACCTTCGTCTCGTTGAAGCTTGGCCGTAGCTGCAAGTCCAAAATTAGCAAACAGCAGCAGTAGAATCGAATAGAGGATGTGGATTTTGGCTCTATGATTTTGAGATACAGGCTCGGCCGCCATTGACGAACAATGGAACTTATTCTGAGAGCTTTGAGTCTCAGTCCGAGAGCTATGCTCTGAGAGTGTAGAGAGAGAGAGAGAGAGAGAGAGAGAGAGTAGAGAATGCTAACAGAGCATGTGGAATAAGATATTTATATACAGAGTACTGCTCGTAGAAGCTTGAAGAGTGATTGCAAATTATAAATGTCAATAAAATACTCTTTATCTCTCCTTTCACATCAAATGACGACAAAATATATTGGAGCTACTGTTTATATCAAATCATAACAAAGCATTAGAAATAATAACTGAGGCTATAGTGAGATAAATAATATCCTTTTATTTATTTTTAATGCATATTATGATTTTAGAAAGTGACAACTTCTATTGTATTATATATTTTATACACCACTATTGATTTATGAGCTATAGTGATCGGTGTAGTTGTACATGTGCACAAATTTAGTTTAAACTTGCATGTATACGTAGAAGTCAATTTTAATACAGTTCTAAAAACCATACATCTTCCCTCGAAAGATTGTAGATTATACAAACTGGTGTACACCACTTTTGATTTATAAGCTATAAACATTTGTTGTAGTCATGCGCCTATACAATTTTATTGGTATAAATTAAATCTTCAAATTTTGATACGTGAAAGCCAACTTAAGTATAATTCGAACTGGATTAAGGTATATGTTTTCAACATAAAACTCATAAGTACGAATTGGTATACACCAGTCTTGATTTATGAACTATAATCACCTGTACAAACTTTGGGATAGAAATTCAATCTTCAAAGTTAAAATAACTCAGAATGAGACTTAAACTGGGGAGATTGAAGTATATGATACGGCGAATTATGTAAAATGCCACGCAAGATTTCCACTTTCAAACCAAGAAGTGGCCAAAGAAAGAGCAATGGAGAGCATGGCAGCTTTGGCAATGACCGGAGCGGCAAATCGAGCGGCTGTCGTTTTCTAGTTACAATTAACGTAAAACGCAGATGCGTGGCCATTGCATTGTTTTTTGGACAGACTTACAAAGCTCTACGTCACGTCGACAGTAAAAGTAAAACGACGTGTCGGCCCCAGTGGGAGTGCGGAGTCGGGGATGATTATGATTGTGAAAGCAGCGGCTCTGTCTGGGCTCCTCCACGCAGACACAGTTTACAAAACCGCGTTTTACAAAGCTGAGTGATACGACCAGAGACACTTGTTTGCAATTGCATGGTTTTTTTTCTTTTCTTTTTTTGTCATTATTATAATACATTTCAAAAAGTTATTTTATTATATATAATGGAATAGAACAACGTGAACATCAGATTTTCTTTCTTTTTTTTTTTGGTCCACGAGAAAAAAGGCAAATCGAACTTATAATCTGTAATTTTCATTTGTGATATTGTGTGTTTGAGTTATACACTACACTATATATAGTCCATGATTGAGATTAAAATATCAAATGTTTGATTCAAAATATATACTTTAACATATACAAATTAAATTTACGAGTGCCACACGTGATCATCATAACTCGTGGTCAAGTATCCCAACTCCAATTTTTTCCTCAATAATAAATTATAGAAATAGACCTCTTCCCTTAATTTATAAATATAAGTTAAAGTTTTTTTTAAGTACAATATATACTTAACACACTCGAACTTAGTTATACAACTTCAATTTTCAAGGTTGGTTCTACTAAAAAAATTATTCAAATTTCTCTTAAAATCGACCTAAGGGGATAGCCCACGAGCAGAAAAAGATGTGGTCAGACAGAGACATATAAAGGCTAAGATATTTTTTGAATGAAAGGGTAAAAAATGATCCAAATTTCATCCCACTATTTATGAAAACATTGATACATTTTGCATGCTAGCTGGCATTTTTTGTCGAAACCCATAATTTGGAATAAATTATAAAGTTAGCCTGGGCCATTTTTACTTGGTCTTCTCCAGATTCGCCTACTCCAAAAGGTTGACTTTGACTCTTGTGTATATCCAATTATCCATCCCTTCCCACCCTTGCTAGTCAAATCTACTACGCGCTTTATTTATTCTTCCCATCCAATTAATAACAAATAAAACCCTAGTTTCTTGACTTTTTAGCCTCTCATCGATATGTACCCAATTTAATTCTTTCACACTCACCTCTTCACTTATTCGCACAACAATAATTAATAGCTATGCTCAAATTTATTAATATTTATTAGATTACATCTCAAAATCAATTGAAATTAGACTGATTCATTTATATTATAAACCATTATTGTCTTTTATGTTTGAGATAACGTAAGACTGTTTTAGAAATTTAGACATTTTTCTAAGTATTTTATTCTAATTCCGATTTTACAGTTATTTATTGCATTAATTATTGTTGACCCTATACTAATTTTCAACACAAATCTCTTAATTTACTCATTCAAAAGCTTAATTTACTCTTTCAAAAAAGATTGATTTTCCCTTAATTCAGGTGCTCAATCTTGAAACACAATTCAAAATTACAGAAACGTCTTTTGAAATCTCGATAAACATATATCCGCATATTCAAAATCATAGTATATATCCACTTAAATATCCTCATATATACATTCAAAATCACTGTAGTATATATCTGCATATCTACATATATACAAGTTGAGTTATAAGATATATTCACTTATATATCCGCATATCCGCATATATACAAGTTGAGTTATAAGATATATCATAGTCAAATCACTTACTATATCCTCACACATACAATATTTCACACCAAATCAGAAATTGAAAACATCCGTTGGAATGCAAACCTTTCAATCTGGAGATGAACTACTCTGGCGACTAAGAAAAATGGAGGCAGTCGGAGATGAAGGCAGGCAAACATCGGTCGGAGACGAAGGCAGGCAAAAATGCCCGGATAATAAGAACTGACATAAATCTCTTTGAAGATGGTCGGAGATGAAATGCTCTTGCGACAAAGAAAAGCGGAGCCGACCGGAGAGGAAAGACAAATGGTCGGAGAAGAGGAACGGAGGGTCGAAGGAAGGAAAACTGACGGTCGGAGGAAGAAAAGAAAAACGAGGAAGAAGAAAGGAGTGGGTTTCAAAAATGGATGGGTTTTTGGGATTCTGTGATTTTTTTTAATTTTGGAAAGTATCATTAGCACGGATTTGACCTCCCAATTTACCAATTCTAAATTTTAATAATTATTTAATATTGAGATGGATCCTAAGGATATACTAGTAATTTGGGATGCTCACGTTTGAGCTTTTGGGTTATGATACCTAATATACTCATCTTTAATATGACATAGGGTGGGAGGTTCTCTACTCGAACCCTACGTTGTTGTTTTCTATTAATTTATAATGATTTTCACTTATTAAACGGTGGTTTATTCAATATTAACAAGATCATGGAAAAATTGACCATTAATTAAATTAAAATTCATAATTTTTTTCGAATAAGCTAACCCAATATCATTTTATTATGAAATTTTATCGAGATTAAGTTGTATAACTATTGAAAGCACACCATAATACTTGTGTTCAGTGTCTATTCAAATGAAAACATATACCAATAAGTAAAAATTGCAACAATGATTGAATATATATATTTTTAATTTAAGATAAAGATTGCAGTACTCATCAAAATTAAAAGTTGAATTCCATCAAATTGAAAGTTTGGGATTGTTTGTTTTTTTTAAAATTTGCAATAATATAATATTAAAGTTGTTGGTTGTTTGAGAGGAGAGCTGCGTAGAAGAGCTCGTTCCAAGTATCCGGAACTCCGGCGAGGCACCAGTGGCTACAGTCCATGTCGTTGTGGCCGCCGTGGCCGTAGACGGAGGGGTGGCCGTCTTTTCTCAGCTGCGACAGCGTGGTGATATTCAGCAAATAAACTGGCTTCCTCATCCGCTGCAGCACTCTCTCCACCGTCACCTCCGCCGGATGTGGGCCCCCCGGGTACTCGGGGCCGCCCAATGGCCTCGTTTCTCCGCCGCAGTTCCCTCCAGCCTTACCCCACAAACTCCCACTGTTCCAAACAATTAAGGAAAAATAGAAAGGTTAAATCGGAAACTAATTCACAATTTTTTTCTATTATTTCGAAATTAAACCTAAATAATAGGCACAAATAGGAAGAAAAATTGGATAAAAGTTAGCTGCTTACCCTGTGTAAATATCTCCCTACTTAATTACCCTAAGAACTATTTTTTATATTTTATTTCTATTCCTTTATACATTAATCTCTATTGATTGTGTTATTTCTCTAAAAAAAACTCAAAAAAAAAAAAAAACTCTTAATTGTGCCAAATCCCGCAA